CCTTACTAGTAGTAACAAGAAGCTACTAGTAACAAGTGCCTTACTAGATTCTTTGGGCTGTTGCGGTTTGGTGTTGGTGAAGGTGTCTTTCTCTTGCGGCTTCGATTCCTTTTTAAGCGCATGGCTGGAAGTCTTGCTTCCACCTCCACTCCCCCAGTCCCTGCCTTGCCCGATGGAAAAGTTCGGGGATAGCTGGTGGACGGGAACCCGAACGCAGATTGGTCCAGTACTAAAGGGCTGTTGGAGATCCGTTTTTTGGATTCTGCTTTACATCAAAAGACCTTTTTGAAAAGAAAGAACATTACTACTGTAGCAAGGACGCTACTAGGTTGGAGGCCGGCATCGCTAGGAGGGTGGAGGTGATCCCTTCTCAGGATGCGCATCGAACAGCGACCGTCTCGAAGGCGGGACCGGGAGCAGAGTTGACACTGGTGAGTCCGGTGGCGATGGCAAGCTTGAAAGACCTAGTTATAAGAATGCTACTAAGAAGCTTTAAAGACCTAAAAATCTTCTAGTTACTAGTAGCTTCAAAGACCTCCTAGTACCTTAAGGTTTCACATGGCGTGGTTCGGCCGCAGTCGCTGGAAGTGGGATACGTACTTGAGAAGTCTTGCTACGAGAGAGAAGTCTTCCCAGATTTGCTTGCATGGCCCTCATTTGCACAGCGGCGTTTGGCTTACAAGGGACAACTTTCCAACAAGCTTTCCTGTCGATTTCATTGATGAAGATCATGTGGGTTTTTCTTTTGCTGCAGCTGACGGTGCAGCTGGCTTGGTGCCAGGCAAGGTACGATCATTTGCATTCTGTGGCTTAGAATCCTGAAATGTCAATATAATCTTCAAACAGCGCAGGTGCCGCAAGTCCAGGTTGGAGCACTTTGAACCAGTTGTTCGAAAGAAGTTATTCCGAACCAGTTACAAATGGCGATTCCGAGTTAGCAACAACGTTCGGTCCACATAGCCAAAACACATAGCCTGAGTCTGACCAGGTCCACCCATCCCTCATGAAACAAGTGGGTGCTCGGGGGTGCTCTCTTTGCAGGAGACTCTTGATGCTGGCAATTGCTCGAGCCATGAGCCTGGCACCCAGTGTTTCAACTTCAAGAAGATCCTCAATGAATGGGTTACAAAGTATGTTCTAGTCGATCTGTCCATTTTCGAATGTTTTCAGGGGACCATACTTGAGACAGCATATTTTGTGTTCGCTGCATCGGCGCTGCAAGGAATGTGAGACGAACAGTTTGACCAAACACCTGTGTGAAGAAGGGTTATTCCAATCGAAGTAGACCAAACAGTATACTACATTGTACTTGGCTTCGACCACAGGTGTTTGTTCCCAAGTGTGTCCTGAGTGTTTTCTGCCATTCCTTGGCGTGCTGCTGCATGAGGCCAGCGTGTGATGATAAGACTGCAATGCTGCAATTCCAAGCTCCTTGGCTTTCCGAGGAAAAGCATCGTTGGGAGGCAGTTTTTGTTGGTTACTAGCTAGAAGCTAGAAGCTACTGGTAGCAAGGCGCCTTGCTAGTAGTAACAAGAAGCTACTAGTAGCTAAGGGAGCATTGTTGTTTCAGGCCTGGCCTTGCGGTCGACTGCTGTTCGTGTTGGTGTGGAGTCCGATTCAAGGTCGAGCAGCCGGCTGACAAGTGCACTGCCCAAGAGGAAGAGAATCTGAATAAAGGGACATGCGGTGCAGATAGCGCCTGCAGATGCACTCCGGACCCTGATGGTCAAAGCATTGGGCCCTTCAATCTCGGAGGGCTACGCTGCGCGGGGCAGAACTCGTGCAGGAGTGACTCCAATGCCCAGGCGGACAAGGACAAGTTCTTCACCTTCTCCGACTCGAGCAACTATCTTGATTGCTCTGGCAGAGAGTCTTGCAGGGTCTTCTGGAACGTGCAGAATGTGGGCGCCGCCTGCTGCAGCGACCAGAATGCTTGTCACAACGAGGCCCGGATCCACATGGACACCTCGGGCGTCAGTCAGTGCACCAATGACATGTGCTGCTCCGGCATCAATGCCTGCAAGCAGTCTGAAGTCCGAGGTGTCCACAGCTTGTTCTGCGCAGACAACGGCGCTTGTGACCAGATTGATGCGGAAATCACCGGGGATCCTTGGATGCAAAGGTCTCCTTGTTCCTCATTCAATCTGGGCCAATCCTCAAACATTACACCAGCATAGACCCAGATAGCTAGAATCCCACGACCTGTTGACATGCGGCTGGCTGGAACAAGAACCCCATAGCTGTCGCTATCTGGTGAATAGAATTTAAATCCCTTCCGAAGCACAGCCCTTCCGAAGCAAGCTCGCACTGAGGATTTCTATTGTCAAGCAAAGCAAGGTTGTGGTGACCAAACCACAGGCGCAAACAAGGGTGGATTTGCATTCTCTTCGGGTGACCATAGTGTCACATGCAACAGTGAGGGTGGAGCTGGCGATGACCAAGGCTCTTGCCAGAAAGCCGCGATGACTTTCGGAGCAGGCTCAAATGTCAAGATGACTTGCACAGGCTTCAAGGCCTGTTTCAAAGCAGAGTTGACACTCAGTAGTGGCACCTGCTTGTCTCTATCATGTAGTGGTGACAATGCCTGCGCGGACATTCAGGTCGACTTGAATGGTGGTGCATGCTCATGCACGGGCGTCAATTGCCCAACGACCCGGCGTGCGGGTAGGGACATTCCCGTTTGTCAAGCTACTTGCGCAGAGGCTGACGCGCTGTCCTCTACAGGTTCTTACTGCTGCGCTGGAACATCCGGCGGGAAGCCAGATGCCTCCAGCATTGATTGTTCCCAGTGCTGCCCCACCGTGACCACGACAGCTGCGGATCCCGGAACGACATCCACTGCCGCCTCGGGTGGAGATCCTCACATCGCATCATTTCATGGAGCGCATTACACCTTGTTGAAGGATGGCAGTTTCAAGGCTTGGACTTTCACTCGAGACACCTCCTTCCACTCGAAACATGGCTTGAAGAATGCCAAGGTGGATTTCCAGCTCCTGGCCAAGTACGGAGGCCCGAAATTCGAAACTCGAGGGCTTTTGCTCTTGGACAAGACCGCAGACAGCCTGAAGACCCTGGAGTTGACTTCAAAGGATTGTGTTTGGCGTGTTCGGGAGGGTGAAGACGAATGGCGAGATGCCAAAGCAGAGCTTTTGTCGTCTGAAGATCACGTCACGTCCGTCAACATCAGTGAGCCACACAAGACAGATGGGAACAACCCGCAGGTCGTGTCGGAGCTCTACCTGAAGATGACAGATCGTGTCGGCATGCCTTCGGGCCGCAAAGTGGCCAGGCTCTACACGCAGTGTACGCCAGATGATCACTTGGACTTCAAGATGGCCATGTATGAAAAGGAGGACATCGATGTGGTGGGTGGCGAGCTGGGTGTTCACTCTGAAGAGGTGCAGAGTGCCGCCCTTCTCTCCACCAACACCAGGATGATGCACGTGAGGACCGATGACCAGTATCAGGCTGGGATCTCTCGTGTCGTCTCCTTTGGTTTAAAAAGAGTGATGCTTCATGGATGTCCAACCTAAGAATCCTAAGAGCGATGGCCTCCATATCTGGAGACAGAATAGGACCATTATGTTTTGATGCATAGCTATGCAAGTCATGAAAAACAGTTGTGAAATGGTTGCAGCCTTTGATACCCTCCAGGCACTCAGAGTTTTTGAATATTGACGACCTTCGGTGTCTTCAGAAGCATTCGTAGGAGGGAGGCCATCGCTCGTAGGTTGGAGGCCATCGCAGTTAGGTTGGAGGCCATCGCTCGTAGGTTGGAGGCCATCGCAACTAGGTTGGAGGCCATCGCAACTAGGTTGGAGGCCATTGCTATTAGGTATTTTTTTCATGTTTTTTTCACTCCAGGTGAAGCAGCCTTGGGTTGAATTGGGCGGCACCAAGTCCGGAGCATCGTATTTGGAGTCCGAGACCGACCATGCAAGTTCTCTTGTCGCCCTGGTGACTTGGCGAGATGAAGAACCTGCGCCAGATGGAACAGTTGTCTCACTGAAGGTTCCTAAGGATTCTAACGGCTCTTTGATGGCTTAGGTAAGGCTTAGGCATAACCTTGACATGATCCATTCGCACAGAAGCGACTCTTTTGTTGCTGTCGTGTCATTTGCCACCAGAAGAGCTTTTCCACTGTAGCAATCATTTGCGCTTAGCGAAAAGTTGCCTTAGCACATGCTGATCATTTCCCGCCTCTCGTGGCAGACCTGGTCTCGTCAGGCAATGCCTCCCTGCACAGAAGCGCAGGAAGAAGCGGCCGCCAGCATTTGCGCCAAACATTTGCCGAAAGACGCCAGCTCTGAATCAGAGGCACGCAAGTGGAAGAAGGCTGCTAGAACCTAGTGGTCCTAGATGTCCAAGACCTCCAGAATTGGAAATGAAAGTTCATGTCAGTCGGGCTCGACCTCCAATTTCCGTTTATGTCCCAGGTCATGTAGTGTCCAAGTGACATAGGCTTTGTATGCAGAGCTGGCCAGGTCTTTGCAGATTGCATCTTTGATGTTTGCCATGGAGGCGTGGGAAGGATCAAATCGACTAAAAATTGCGTAAAAGAAGTTCACCAAAGTTCATCGAAGTTCATTCCATTCAAAAAGCTTCAGCGCCTCGCGTCACAGGTGGAGAGAAGTCTGCTCAGCTGGCAGCGGCACTGATCAAAGCCTAGCTCTGCAGCACCCTGCAAAGCAATTGTTTTTTCCATGACAAGGAGCCTCCTTGAGAAACTGCACAAGGAGCATGTTTTGAAAACCTGCTTAGCAGACCTTGAGAGCAGCTCAACACAAGCTGCGCACTGATTTCTCCTTGGTGAAAAGGAAGTGGATCTCGAGATCCGGGGAAATGCATGGGGCGGAGCTTGCGTGCAGATCACAAGAGAATGTTGCAAGCATCCTCCTCCAAGCTACTAACGATGGCCTCCACCCTAGCTGGCCTCCAACCTAAGAGAATGCTCCAAGCATCCTAATATCAGGTCTCACATAAACTCCACAACCAACAGGGGATCAGCTGGGAGGGTACCGTTTTGCACGCAGAAGAAGAGGCTAGTAACAAGTGCATTACTACTAGCTTCTTGAGTAGCAAGAAGCTAGTAGTGACAAAGGCTTCTAGGTTGGAGGAGCCCATCGCTAGTAGGTTGGAGGCCGCTCCTACCAGTAGCAAGAAGCTATGATCCTTTCGACTTGTTCGCCGGTGTCTCCGTTTCGGTGAGGCACTTTTGGACTAACGTCGCCAAGGTGGGAGCGTTGTCCGAAGACGAGGTCCAGAGTTGGTGAAGGTGAAAAACGACGGATTTGGTGCAACGAGATTTGCCAGTCATCCTTTTGGCCAGTTTGGCAAGATCTCTTTTTCATGTGTTTACAGGCTTTTGCTCATGATTTTAGTGCCTTGGGTCATACCCCCGACCAGACCCACCACACCTTTTTGAAGTGGTGTGCTTGAAAAACCAGAGGCCATAGGTGTTCCACGGTTGATTCATGTAATATCATGTAATATATACATATGTCTTACGTGTGTCTATATATAGATATGATATATGAATACATATTATACATATGTCATAGTATATAACGGTACGTATATACCAATAAACATACTCGACAGCGGCGAAGCCCGACTGCGCTGCACGCCTGCGCGGCGGAGTTCCCGAGGAGTTCCTCCACCGGGGTCCCCTCCGGGGCTCCTGTTGAAAACGCGACTGGTCGTCCACCGAGTAGCGTCCGATCGCTCTGTTCGTAGCGATGCCCTTTGCTCCTAGTAGCATCCTTGCTCCGTTCGTAGTACGGCCAGGAGCCCCGTTCGTAACGTCCGATCGCTCCTAGAAGCGTCCTTGCTGGTCGTCCCCTTCGCGGCTCAGATGTAGTTCAACCGTCCGGAGTGTCGCGCGGCACCATGAGCGCGGAAACGAGCGCTGAGCAGACGGAGACGGAGATGTGGAAGGATGAGCCAATGTCCATGTTGCTGAAGATTCAGGATCAATTGACTTCGTGCCCACGTCCAAAGGGGGTGAAGGGCATGTTGGAGTCTTTTGGATTGTATATGGACCCTTTGTCCTTCACAAAGCGGTTCACCGTTTGCTTGACAGGTGCTGTAGTACTATTCTTGTTGATTCCAGCAAGGGACGTTCTCGATCCACACAACACCTGCAAACTCTGCATAAAACACTTTGGAGAATCTGTTCGGAAACACAGAATCCCTTGGCTCCAAAAGGGACTCTGGGGGTAGTGCTCAACTTGCACATGGGGTAGGTTTTGGGGAGAGGTATGTGCATAGCAAAGCTCCGAGAGGAGCTTGTCCGCGATGGCCTCCTAATGAAATGAAACTGTGCAAATCTCTTTAATGTGGGAATGAGAACCTAAGAGTGATGGCCCCCACCCTACTAGCGATGGCCTCCAACCGGCTTTCTGAAGTACGTGTTGCCGGAAACCCATACTGGGCAAGTTGTGGCAAGTGACCGCTCCTTTCAAAACCACCAGAATTGAATTTTTTAATTGGTGAAAACTAAACAAGCTGATAATAGCATGCTGTGAAAGAACAAGAAGGCGACCGCTCGAAAGACCAGTGCGGTCGTTGATTGGACATGGACATAGGTGCACAAGCACTAAATCTGCCATGCAAAACTGGGGGTTTTAAAGACATACCCATGTGGATGTGTCGGTGACAGCGAGCTTTCATTTGGTTCACGTGTTGGTTCACGTGTCGATTGTTTCTGTTGTGAAGAGTCACGGCCTTTGAACGAAGCGGCTTCACGGCGAACGGCTTCACGGTTCCGAGGCTTCGAAGTTTAGTGGAACTTCAAGAGCAGATGCGAGAGGTGCAGGGCGGCCTCCAGAGTCTGCGTAGTGCGGTGGCCGCTCAGGGCAATCAATTGCAGCAGGTCGGGGACAGGAAGCGGGGTTGGTTGAGGTTGTTTTTTTGGCGGGGGGCCTCAAGCACACGAAAGGTGCCGAAGTGCACCAAGGACCTCCTTTTTGGTGGCTCTATCATTTTTTTGTGGTCTTCTTTTCTATCTACCAACACCCCTTCTTTCTTCTTCGCAGGTTCAGGCCTTGATGAAAGCCTCCCATGTGACCTCGGTGGATGCCTTGGCAGCACCTGACAGCGAGCCGCCCATGCTGCCGGGGGAGATCGTCATGGAGATGTCGCCCAAGAGACCCGGTGGAGTGAAGTCTCGCCACGTCCGAAGCCTCGCGTCCGGAGCGTCCTCTCCGGGTCGTCGGAGAGGTGTCGTTGGTCGTGTTGGACGGTCGCGGTCGGGTGACGAAGTGTTTTTTGGAAGTTCCGAATGCTACTAGTAACAATAAGCTAGTAGAAACAAGTGCCTTACTAGTAGTAACAGGTGCCTTACTAGTAGTAACAAGAAGCTATTAATTTAATTAGGAAGTTCCGAATGCTTGCTGAGTTCACTGTCACATTGGGACATATGTTGCGCCATCGCTATTAGGAGGCCTGCGCGCTAGTAGGTGCTGATTGTGTCGCCATGTCGCTTCTCCACGAAGCTTGGAACCAGTGTGCCACAACTGTTCTTTTTGGATCTTTTTGGATGGGTTCTCGAGAAGCTGATGGCGCGACACACGACCGAGCTTCATCCTCTCATGCGACCCATGCGACTTCAAAGATTTGGGAGAAATTCGACAAGCTCCTCCTTGGGGGAAACAAGTAACACCCACGAAAAGACTCCCAAATCCAACTGGTCAGCGGAAATACAACTGGCATCCCATGGGTTTTTGCACACTTGCGGCTTTGCCAAAATACGGTCGCCCAAAGCTTCCTGCGGGTCCCTGCGCGTCCATGTCGTAAGGTTCTTTCGCCACCTGGGGAGTTTTTCCACCTCCAAAACCCCTTTTTTTCCAACCCATTTTTGACTCGGAATGCAGAAACCTCTCTGACTGTTCAAAAGGATGCAGCATGCAGCCTTTCTTCACTGTTTCATCCGGATGGTTGCGCACCATTTCGCCCGGGCCTCTTCGAAAAATTCCAGGCTGTTGCACCACAAGAAGTCGGCGACGATCCAATCTCGAAGCCCCGGGCTTGGAGGTGACGTGAAGGGTGAACGGAAGGAACGCTCCTCTTTGGCGCAGCAATGGCCTCCACCCTAAGAGCAAACTATAGCGAAGACCTTTTTTCCTTTTCGTTGTTCTTTGTTTCTAGTAACAGCGATGGCCTCCAACCTAAGAAAATTGGACATGAAGACACTTCCAAACGATGGCAGAACGTCTTTTCGTCACCCAAACGAGCCAGGCGACTGAGATCACCTCGAGCCTAACGTAGCACGGAGATGTCATCAAATTCGGGAAGTTTCGCTATTTTGGACCTTGCGGTTTTGAGACTCCTGGCATCGCTACGAACGGAGCGATCGGACGCTACCAGTAGCGAAGTGTTGGACCTCACGGACGTCACGGTTTTGAGACTCTTCCAGGGGGCATCGCGGCGCTGAACAAGCCGCGCATTATGAGCATGGATCAGATTGAAGCGCCGCTCAGACAAAGGGCTGCAGACGGGATTGTTCCCCTTTCTTGGATGACAAACCGGCAGATGAGGTGCCGCTGGTGGTGAGAATGGAACAAGTTGCTTTCACGGGTATTTGGGGTAGATGGAGAACATGAACCTGAGAAAACAAAGACACGAAGACAGAGATGTTTGGGCTGATGAAGATCTTGTCATCTATGTTTTTTCACCAAGTTATTTGGGTTTCATGTCGTTGCCTGGTCGTTGCAGCGGCACACCCAGCATGTTGAGAGCGGTGAATCCATGTGAAGCCAGGGCGGCTGTTCTTGTGGCTTTGGGTGGCCGAAAACGACACTGGTCCGTGCGCCTCTGAGGCACACCGCGCACGTGCTTTTGGCGCCCAAGGCGCTCACCCTTTCGCGCTCCGCGCAGAGTAGCAAGAGCAGGCGCTTGGGGCACTGCGGTTGCTTTGGATGAGACAGGTCACAAAAAAATGTCACAACCTGGGTGTTGACATCTCCCAAAGATGTTGAGAGACCACTCAAACCCGGCCAGGAGGGGTTGGTATTGTTGTTCTCGACTGGGGAGGAGTTGAGAGCGCATGCAGTCTTTGGGAGCTTCGGTCTCTACACCGTCAAGAAACCGACGAACTCTGCACCATCCAAGAAAGGAGTCACCGAAAAGGATCTGAGTCTGTGTTTCACAGACCCCACAGAAACGGAACAGAAAAGCCCTGTGCACCATCCAGTAAAAACCATGGCCAAGCTCCAACCTACTAGCTTCTTGCTCCGTAACCACCGCCAAGGCACGAGGATGAGGAGCTGGAGGACTTCGGCGAGGAACCGAACGATCAGCCGGTGCGAACCTTCACCTCGCGCCAGTTGACCACCAACCCCAATATCGTACTGCCGCGGATCTCAAAAAGAGAGAGAGGACTTGAGGACTGAGTGCAAAAGGACTGAAAAAGGAAGGAGATCAGATTGTACTTTGACAAGGAAAAAGCCTCTCTTGTCTGAACGGCAGGATCTTCCAGTTCCCAGCCGAGGCAAAGCTGCCGACGGATGTCCTTGGACGACTTGCGCACAAACCATGACGCCATCCTGGCGGCCACCACAGCTCAGCATACCATCACGCGGCAGAGCACCTTGGCTCAGTCGTGATGTGAGGTGTGCTGCACAGCGGTGTGGCAAGCCGCTCAAGTGAATAGCTCCCAAGACTCAGTGGAAGTCTGCACGTGTCAACTCAAGTCACAATTGGGTCAATAGTCTAAGCGTCAAGAGAGTCCCGGCATTTGTCATGGCCTATGAGATCTCCCTGTTCTCCCAAACGTGGAAACCGAGGGTCGGAGAAACCGGGGAAGGGAGCACCAGGAGATGGATCCACAAAACAGACTGGAAACCTGACCTCACCGAGACGAAGCAGATTCCCAATAGCTTCTTTTTTTCTGGTTCTTTCTTTTTAAAGCCCACCCTTACAAATGAAATAGGCGCCTACTTAATTGAGAAGAGCAAAGCAAGCTCGCTCATTTGGTTTCTAGATTGTTGGACAAAAAGGTGCAGTCTGTGGCTCAGAGCTTGGGATAGGTCACTTCTCCATCTACTGGGTGTTTCTCTCAACATGTTGGGGAAGGGAGCCATGAATTGCATTTTAATCTCCGGTACCAATCAACACTCCGGGACCCGGGCAAATTCCGTCGAAAGGAACAGAACGTCTCCCTGTGAGGTGGCTTCTTGGTGGCGACCGACAGCCGGCGAAGTGTTTTGCCACGCGTGGCCAACTTTTGGTTAAC